TTCATAACCTATTCCAATTCATATTCATTCTGTGAAAAATTTTTAGGATATTCGTCTCTGAAACAATCTGGCATCACTGTCTTGTTTTGACGTTAGTGAATGACGAATTGGGGATTCCCTGAGATTCTGCAGATTTCACTTGCTTCCCAGTGGCGTACTCGAATTTCGAAGCATTTTATGTTCAATTTTCAAAATGAAATTTCTCGTTAATGTGAAGACTTAGGACTCTCTCATATATATGTCTTGAATATATGCACTCATTTTAAAATCAGCCTGTATGTGTAATAGGACAAACAACATACGTGTTGACAGCTAGTACGCACGAGCGTGACTAATAATTCGACAATACAGCAATTCACTCTGGTACTTGCCCCCTTTGATGGCAAATAACCGTTGTCACTTACTGCTGGCTCCATCTAATTGTTGTTGTAGGAAGGATAATTTTACTAATGGCACTTACAGCTTTTGTCAGGTCATAAAACATGTCGTTCAACACCGTTCTACGGCACTATCTCAATTCATGAAATTATGGTACTTAGCACCTTTGTTACTTCCACTCTTCAATTATTGTTTTTTCGTTGACTTCGAATCAACGAGTATTTTTAATGTTTATCAAATTGATCCTTATCCCAGGACACAGGATATCCTATTCGATCTAGTAAGAAAGAGATTACTTTATTATGTAAGTATTAATCCATTCACAAGTATACATAGTAATTATTAGAGTCACTGGTTGTTGTTAGTTATAGATTTTTTTTTTTTTATCGATTGGAGCGCACGAAAGGGAATCCCTATAATGCTCAAAGAACATCGTGCGTTCCTAGGGAGGCTAGGGACAGGAGGTAGGTATTGGAATTTTTTTTGAATTTTTGGAGATTATATGTTGTTGGGAATACTTCCACAGGCAATGAATTCCAGAGCCTAGCCGTTCTATGGATGAAGGAGTCTTGATAAAGTGCTGTTCGACATCTTTCGAGGTTGACAACGAAAGGATGTGCTGACTGGGCTTGTCTAGTTCGTCTGATTGGTATTGCTAGTGGAGGGATGATTGCAGAGATTTCCGAAGAACATTGCCCGTGGAAGAATCGATAGAAAAGTGAAAGGTCGCCGACCTTTCTACGGTGTTCCAATGATGTCAAAGAGTGAGTGAGTGTGGCGTCACCCACCAGGCGAATTGCTCTTCTCTGGATGGAATCTAAGAGCATCAGCGTATGTTTTGGTGCTGAACCCCATATGTGGGAACAGTATTCTAGAACAGGCCGTATCTGCGCTTTGTAGATCATGAGAAGCTGTTGAGGTGTAAAGTAGCTTTTCGCACGGAACAAGAATCCGAGTTTTTGTGAAGCAGCTTTTGCAATGGATCTGACATGATTATCCCATGAAAGAGTGTTGCTGATGGAAATACCGAGCATAGATATGGTGGGCTTGGTGGGGATGGTGGAGCCAGACATTACAATATCGGGCATACTGAGTTCCGCCTTTCTAGAGAAAATGCAGGCCTGAGTTTTGGTGGCGTTGAATTGAACTAGGTTGTTCGTTCCCCAGGCTGTGATTTCAGCAAGATCTTCATTGACAGCGTTGACCTGCCTGCGCCGTGAGTTCTTAGTTTCCTGGGAAGAAACGGGAATTCTGGAAGAGAACGCAGTATGGAGGGTACTATCATCTGCAAAGCTGTGGATGGGGCAAGTTGTTACTCCCAACAGATCATTGATATGAAGCAGGAATAATGTTGGTGCCAAAATGGATCCTTGTGGAACGCCGGAGTTGATGCCAATGGTATTAGACGATACACCGTCCACCACCACGTGAAGCGATCTGCCTGAAAGAAAACTCGATAAGAGATGGCATAGCTGAGGTGGTAAGCCGTATGATGGTAGTTTGTGGAGGAGTCCTTCGTGCCAAACACGGTCGAATGCTTTCGATATGTCCAACGCGACAGCTAGAGACTCCCCGTGTTTTTCTATTGAAGATTGCCATAAATGGGTGACGTAGGCAAGTAGATCTCCAGTAGATCTTCGGTGGCGAAAGCCGTATTGTCTATCATTGATGATTCCTGAGCTCTCCAGATATTTGATAAGTTCAATATTGATGGCTTTCTCCATCACTTTGGAGATTACTGATAACAGGGCAATGGGCCTGTAGTTGTTGGGCAGGTTCTTGTTTCCTTTTTTGGGGATTGGTTGGACTCTAGCTGTCTTCCAGCATGATGGAAAAATACCCGACCTGTACGAGATGGTAAACAACTTGCAGAGAATCGGTGTTAATTCTGGTGCACATTTTTTGAGGATAATGGGTGGAATTCCATCAGGACCGTTAGCCTTATTCGTTTTGAGACCAAGCAAAATTCGTCTGATAGTGCGTTGACGGAAGACGATTTCGGGCATTTGACTCTCAACGGGTGGAATGTCTGGCGGCAGTTTTCCTTGGGAATCTAAAGTAGAGTTTGCTGCGAACATCTCTGCAAAAATATTCGCTTTCTCCTGCGATGTTGTTGCTAATGTGCCGTCGGATTTGGACAGTGGTGGAAATGAACTATTAGTGAAATTTCTTCCGACCGCTTTAGCAAGGGACCAAAACGAACGGGAGCCATTGGGGCAATCTATGAGTTTCGATCTTATCTTGGCATTGTATGTTTCTTTCGAAGCATCTATTGTTTGGCTGCAGTTATTCCTGGCATCAACGTATTCTGCTCTAGTCGCGAGGTTAGGGTTTTTGCGCCAGCGATGGTAGGCTGTTTGTTTCAAGGCAACAGTTCTAGAACAGTTTTTGTTGAACCAGGGTTTCGAAGGTGATGATCTTTTCGAAAAATGAGGTATGTATGTTTCCATTCCGAGCATGATGATCTCGGATATTTCCGCAGCACACTGTGAAGGGTCCTCAGAGTCAAAGCATACTCTATGCCAAGGAAACTCGGAGAAAAACATGCGGAGACCGTCCCAATCTCCTGAATTGTAATGCCATATAAGACGTGGGGGTGCCGGAGCAGTTGATGGAATGAAAAATGGGCAGGTTGTGGAGATGAGTGTGTGGTCAGAATTATAGATTAAGAGTTCGGACGCAGAAATGATAACTATTGGTGTTTTTCAATATTTAGATTTATCAAGTTTCACACCTTGCATTGTGACTTTCATTCAAAATTGTTTCAATTTCACAATAAATATTATGAAAGTCAGAATTTAAATATAATACACATAATATAAACTATTGTGAAAAAAGCATGAATGAAAATTTCCTGCTGTGTAATGAATTGCGAGAATTCTGAAGGAAATGGCAATTTCATTTCTTTAATTTTCCAAGCGAAATATAAACCATATCCTTATCTGAGGATTGTATGGAACGACATGGATGGAATATTAATTTGAAAACTAGCATTTGTGAGGTAAGTACATACATTAAAATTCACTTCTTATAACAGCAGATTGGGATGAGAATATATTTTAGGCCCATTTTCAAACAAAAGATTTATAAGATCCATTGGAGAGAATCTGCTGTTCCATTGATTTACAAAACAGACTATTGAAAAAAAAATCCAATATTATCATCACACCAATGCAAAATAAAATTATCATATGGGGTACATTTTTACATACAATGAGGAACTAGCTATAGGTATATCCATATGTGTCTATTTTGTCATATTAAAATGTTGTTACATGGATTCCTTTTATTTTTATAACCATTGTTCTATGAAAAGTGTATCGCTATGTAAATTGAAGTGGGTTTTTATACCCATTTCTATATTCTATCTATGACAATGATTGATTTGACAGAAAATCTAACCTCTAAAATCGAATCTGACAATCAGGCGTTACTAGGGGAATTGAAAAGACAAAGAGCAGAATATAATTATATGTCTAATTCTTTTATTCACTCAAACCATTGTAGGAGAAGTTCAGCTGTGTCCGAACTCTTATACCTAACTAATACCATCCAGTGACTCTAGTAATTATTATATTTCACCTGCAAAGAGGACTGACATTCTTCTTCCCATTGTACTTCCATAGATGTATAGAAAGTCATATAATGTTATCACTTTCCTATTGAGAGGAGTTTCGAAATCTCTTGATATCGCCTACTTTGTAAAAATAGCGAGGCGTGAAAGAATCTTGCTAAATTTCTGGAGTTTCAAACCAAATTTACAGGCATCATGACACATTCATTTGAGTTCACATTTTCATTTTCACGAATTTTTATGCAAATGGAAACGGTGCATTATATTTTCAACTTTCAATGGTGAATTCATGAACGACATGAAGTTCTTATTCAAGAAAATCCTGTGGCAATAGTTTATTTACTCACTTTTGGTACAAAAAATAAATCGAATGGATTTTCAAATAATCCTCACACATTGCAGCAGTCAGTCCATGATGAAAGCACAATACACTCACTTAACTAATAATATAATGTCAATACCTGCTTAATGAACTACTGAAATTGCAACGAAATTTTGAATATGCTGGAAACATGATACTCGTGATAGATATGTCAAGATCAAGATGTTTCCACAAGGATTATTTGTTGCGTCCTGTCTCTTCTGCGTCCTATTATTGAATTCGTGCATCATCAAAGGGACTCTTCAGGTCCCGAAAGAAGGAAAACACATCATTGAAAGTCTAGTTCAACTTCATAATAAGATTCGAAACGCATTTTGAAATTTTTCAAGAAATTGTCCATCGTTCACGCCATCTATCATCGGATATGAGAACTCCACGTTCCGAACTCGCATTCAATTGTTCATATCGAGAGCTAGTCTGACGAAACAATTGAAGAGTGGGCACACCAGAGGAATTATAAACATCTCAGTACTTCCCAATAAAAGCGCATAGTTAATCTTTGTCGCACATTAAACCTCTCTGTTAATCGTGTGCGCATCACAGAGTATAGCTCATGGAACGCGTTAGGTGAAGATGACGCGAAATCCATTATTATTGTTTACCCAAAAAATTACTGAACGCGCCTAGAAAAATTTTCACTTCAATATTGATGGATCTTTGACTTACCTTCAAAGTTGCATTATTGGCGAGAGTATGATACAGCCAGAAGGTCCTGGTGGTGATGAAATAAGCTATGATCACATCTATGCTGTAATGGCCGTGCGACAGTTCGAGCATCACGATACCCGTCAGCGACAACACCCAATACATCCAGTGAATGAGGTACAATTTTTTCGGTGTATCTGAAACAATTAGAAATATATTTCTAACTAGCTTTAACCCGCATTGATTTTGTGCAATGTGCAACATTTGCTGCACGGGTCCGTGATGAACTTCTAGACAGATCAGATGTTACGCTTCCAAGGCATTCTGAAGAGGAACAGAGTGAAAATTAACAGCACCGAGTAATAACTAAAACAATAAACTGACACCTAACCTCAAAAATTTAATTTTGGTTGCATAGGTCGCGTGCACATGTGTCAGATGACCGACCCTGGAGGTGAAACGTAAAACAACCTCACTTTTCTTATTTGCTTACAGTAAATTGAAGTAGTTTTTTACATCTATGTTAGCATACGAATCATGTTTTTTGGGCCATATTATCAATTCAAGCATGCTATCATTGCCATCACATTGTGCTGTTGTACAATGCACAAAAAATGCAGCGAGAGACGAAGGAATATGATTTTCAGGTAAATTGTGATCTAAAAAATCTATAGTCACTCACATAGTTTTCATGCAAGTTTTTTGTCTATTTTCTTTTTAGAATGCCATCTACCACTTCTGCAATAGAAGCCAATAAAGTGAGAATGTATCACACAGGGCCATATTTCGACAGCATGTCAGACCAGTCCTGCCGTTTGACTGCACAAATCCACGCGTCTTGCCTTATTTTAGAAACTTTACAAGACTTTTTATTAGCTCCTATTGCAGAATGAATTCTAAAGAGAAATGAGAACGTTTCAAAATGAAAACTATGCGAGTGAAAACAGGGGCAATTATTTACATACCTGAGAATAAATCTTATTCCTTCATCTCTCGCGCAATTTTTGTATTCATTGTACAACAGCATAATGTGATGACATGCTTGAATAAAAACAGATATCACAATAAACACGACTCATAATATGCCAAAAAATTTCGATCCTTCGTAAACAAATTAGAAAAGTGTGGTTGTCAGCGTTGTTTTACCTCGGGGTCGGCAACTGACATCTCTAGAATGTGCACGTGACTGATGGGTTATTTGATGCGACCGGTTTCTAGATAGACCAATTTTGGTTGCGCAGAAGACTGAAACGTCAATGTCATTAATGGTCAAGTAATTGGATCGCAAACAATCTGAGGAACCTCTCGAATGCAGTAATGAATTTGCTCCTTCGAAGTGCCCACCTGATGTTAGGTTAGATATTTGTCATTTTAATTGCATCATCTAAATCCACGAGTTCCTCTCAATGGAGTTCTCTAATAACGGATTGCGAAGTCAAATCATTCGATTTAATTATTCCAGATTTTTTGGGATTTTCTCTCCTCGTTTCTATAGAATGAAAATATGAATTTCATTTCAATATACGTGTAGTAAGGACAAATCAGATGATTTGCCCCAAAATGTCTCTGAGTTTAAAGAATTTTACTATCAGAGCCTGAAAGAAAATGTCACAAGCTTGTCAGTGACAATTTGTATTGAAAAAGGTTTGGAGAAGAGAAATAAAACGTTGCTTTAGCTTTGGACGTTTCGGTAACGAATCTACTCCCTTCTTCAACATGAAAAATGGATATTTGAATGGCAAATTCGTATTTGTCTTGACACTTTTAAGTTCTTAGTGAAAATTGGTGATGTTACAGGATGTTTTCATCAATTAATCTTGAATTAACCATTTTCATTTTCAGATTTCACTAGTGAATACCTATCTATATCAACTGAACAGAAAGCCATGCTATTGTCTCCGTTCAGAAGAATTCAAGCGGAGTCCTTGATTTTTCTCTTCTGGTTGTCCATCTTCAGTAAGGATATGTTCAGCTAGTTTCGATTCGTCGATGTGTCTTTTTTTACATTGTTCTTATGTTCCTTCGTCCTCACCGAAAGAGGCCTCTTGGTTTCACCTGTATAAAACTTTCCACAAACACAAGGTATACTGTGAATACAATTTTTTGATGATTGTTCTTCATTCTTCGGCTTTGTTTGAGACCTCTTTCAGTGAGAACAAAGGAACATGAGTACAATATAATGAAAAGACACATCGACAAATCGAGATCCTTACTGAAGATGGAAGATGGACATATGGCAGAATGGAATAGTATTAAAATCATTGGAAAAGAAGATAACAACCAGAAGAGAAAAATCAAGGAATCTGCTTGTATTCTTGTGAACGGAGACAATAGCATTCCTTCCTGTTCAGTTGATATAGTTAGATAGAACATGGTATTCACTACTGAAAACTGAACATGGAAATGGTAAATTCGAGATTAATTAATGAAAAAATCCTGCAACTTTGATTGCCAACGTCACCAATTGTCACTGAGAACTGAAAAGTGTCAAGACAAATACGAATTTGTTATTCAAATATCCATTTTTTATGTTGAAAACGGGAGCAGATTCGTTCTCGAAACGTCCAAAGCTAAGTGAGAATTTGATATTTCTCATTATACCTTTATTTCTCTTCTCCAAACCTTTTTCAATACAAATTGTCACTGACAAGCTAGTGAATTTTTCTTTTAGGGTCTCTGATACGAAAATTCTTTGAACGCAGTGACATTTTGGAGCAAATCATCTGATTTGCCCTTACTACAGGAATATTGAAATAATATTCATATTTTTATTTTATAGAAACAAGGACAGAAAATCTGGAATAATGAATGTACCACCTCCTCGGATAACCTACAGATAGCAGTCAATTTAAATTCCGAAACTTAGTCGAATGTTCCAATGAGTGATAAATTGAGTTAAAGTCTGAAATTAACGATATTTGACGTTGTTCAAGTGATCTAGACAGGACGCAAGACATAGTGCTGCAAATGCAACCCTAAACCAGGTAGCCGTGCGGACAGAGTGTCTATATTCTAATTCGCATTCGCTTGCCGGTCGTGGGTTCGATCCCCGTCGACTGCAGAAATTTTTCTGATGGCCCAAGAAAGTGTTTGGGATCACACGTTAAAAGGTAAGGCCCCCGTCATTCCTTGCTCGCACAAGACTTTCGAAGACTTTTGAGGGTTGCTCGTAAGGGGGCAACCGAATGACGGATAGAACAAATTTTAGAACAAAATTTTTTTAGGGCGAATAGGGGTAGTCAGAAAGTCAATCCAACAAAATATGAAACATTATGATTTTCGTTCAAATTAATGTCATTCTGTTTTTGAATAAAAAGATGATGTTCAGCATCACCAATTGCTCAAGTAGGCATTTCAATAAAATATTGAGCAATAACTATGTAATTCTTCTCAGCATACTCTGAAATAACTAACGTATTTTTTGAACGTAGTTCTGAGAAGTGATGATTTCATGAGGACACGGAATAATAATAATAATAATAATAATCAGAGGCAACCCAATTGTCAGCAGGAGCGAGACAGTACTGTTTCGACCCACCAGGTCTCATCAGCAGCTCTCGGTCTGCTGACAATAGGGGCAACTCTGTTCATCCTAGATATCTTAGTTAAGAGATTTAGCAGTTGTATAGGTGGTGGAAAAATTCCACTCAAGTATGTCAGGTAGTGCTATCTGTCAGCAGAGTGATTTACTTGTAGTACCACTCTGTAGCGTATAGACGTAGGGGTCTGTACGTGTGACTATAGATGGCAGCGCCATACAGTGTATGTCGCGATATCTCTGTATCCTACCTCAGAGCTTTGCCACAAGATGGCTACAACATGACTGCAACTTCATGTTATACCCTGCGTCTTCGAAATGGGTGATATACCCGAAGCGTAGAGTTGTCCCAGTTGTCAGCAGACCGAGAGCGGCTGATGAGAGCTGGTGGGTCGAAACAGTACTGTCTCGCCTCTGCTGACAATTGAGGCAACCCTGTTCATCCTAGATCTCTTAGTTATGAGATTTAGCATTACACTATGGTCTACATTTCCAATGCTGCCAGAACTCGAGAAATTTTTTATTATGATACACTGGGGCTTCATCTCGGGACGTTTTCGTGATTTCTCCTTAATTGGCCATTGGAACAAAAATTCGATTTTTTTTTCGAAAGTCTTGCATTCCTTGAATTTTTTCTCTAGAACTCCACTTGAGCTGACTATTGGGAATAACTATTCTCATGTTTTGTGGAGGACAATGAAAGACGAAAAGAGCACTATTGTGGAATATACAGGATGATAAGAAAATAGGACAAAATCTCATTTCCGTAAAAAAATCAGAAATGGTGACTAAAACCATGACCCATTCGATTCAGTATATTCAGAAACGGCCTTCTTGATATCCATTATTTATATTAGACTATTAACTGAAGACGTTTTCGAAAATTTGACTAATTGAAATACAGGATGAAAATTTTCAATTCAAACTTGTTTCCTGATATCAATGATTCTTACCAACTGATTTCCAATATTTATATTGCCCATATTTATTGCCCAAGTATGAGACACAGAGTATTGTGGTTCAATATTACATTAGAAGTCGATCACATAATAATTTTATAGAAGTAAAACGAGATGGAAAATAAAATTAATAGTATTGAGACTCACATTCGGTGATGAGCAGATAGGTGAAGACCAAAATAACGGTGTGCCCGCTGTAAATAAAGTCCCCGCAGTAGACGTGCTGCCCATTGACGGACAATCCGAGTCCCGACATCAGCTTGACCACCCTCTTGGCGATCAGTAATGGCGACGTCTCGTTCGATTTGGGCGAACAGGGGTAGTCGGTGTTCGCCATCGGCAGCACCGTCACGTACATCGTGATCGCCCTGTATAGGTACAGGAGCGACATCAGCAGGAAGATCCTTCTGAAGACGATGAACCTGGAAGAAGAAGATGTTATTGAACTATTCACTAGGTCATTAGGTGACAGATACTGTGAATAATAGTAACTTTTTACAAAAAAGCTTTATTCAAATATTTTGTTTGATTCCTATCTCTATTCCATTGACTGGACTTTTTTAGATGCGTTACAAGATGCTGACCAAGCATGTACATATTTCTACCGAAAATTATACAGCGTTTTTGATAAGTGTGTACCAAAATTCACTGATGTATGCAAAAGAAAATATCCTCCTTGGTTTGATAGCGAAATAATAAGAAATACAAAAAGAACATCTAAGTGTTTCTATATATAATTATATAAACATACCAATGACACTGTAACACGTATTGAATTTAAACATCTTAGTGCCAACGTTAAGGGTGACTTGGGTATTTCCTCGGGTATTACTTATAAAACATATGTCCAGTCAATTGAAAATGAAATTGGTAATAATCCTAATAAGTTCTGAAGATTCATCAATAGCAAAAGAGGAGGAAATAACGTCAGTGATAATATGCTGTATAACAGTAATAATCTTGCTTCACCAGACGATATTGTTAACGCATTTGCAACTCTTTTTGTCTGTCTGATACACTAGGAGTTGATAATAATAACGTCATGCCGAATAATTCAATTCATATACAAGGATTTGATGAAAGTGAGGTCCTCAGTGAGCTCAAGTAAATCAAACCTAAAATGACTATCGGTCCTCATCACATTCCAGCGTTTTTAGTTTAAGACTGTACAACTGTAATTGCCTCTAGCAACTCTAATGAATATTTGCCTGAAGAACAAAGCTGTTCCATCTTCTTGAAGGATTTCTAAAGTCTGCCCAATATACAAGAAAGGTGATCGGTTAGATGTTACCAATTTCAGACCAATCACTATTATCTGTAATTTCTGCAAGGTATTTGAAATCCTCTTACAAAAAAATATCTATTTCCAAGTTGAAAAAGTCTGTCTATTTACCAACTCGGTTTTATGAAGAGTCGCTCTACAACAGCCAACTTATAACATGTCAATACGCATGAAGCAGAGGATCTGGATGATCAATTTTAAACAGACGTAATTCATATAGATTTCTCTAAAGCTTTGTGAAAAATTGCGGAGTACATCAAAAATGATATATTTTGAAAGACTCAATCTTGGAAATTACAGTCAATTCTAGAATCATATTGTAGCTAATTTAGTCTACTTTAAAAACGTACATTCAAGTCCTTAGAGTTATTATCGCCAAAATAATAACAAAAAAGATTTTTTCGCGGTATTTTCGATTTTTGACTAAGTTGCGTTCGGCCCTCGAGTTCACAAACTTGGATTAAACAAGTCTGCAAAAAATCAGAACTACTAGACTAACCATTAGAAGCCGACATTATCCTTGATGAACATATGCTACTTTTCATGGTCCTGAATGGACGTACTGGGGATGTACAAATGCGCGGAATCTGGACGTCCCCAGTACTTACGAAACGTTTTGGCCAGACGTTCTCAGTACGTTTTGGGGACGTACTGGTGCTATATAGGAACCATCTGCTTCATCATATTTTGAAGTGTTTGAAGTGTCGTCCTATTGAATCTTTTCACAATTGTTCTAGATTTACGTCAATATCTCAATTTTCAGAGCATATGCAAGTATTTCAAGAAAGTATGGAATTTTTCAATTTTTATCAACAACAATTCAGAACCGACAGAGCATCTTAGGGATGGACTCCAGAGGCTCATTCGCCCCCTTCCGGCCTTGTCAGAGACTCTTCAAGAGCTATGAATCGCCCTTCCAGGAACAACTCTTTATGACTACTTGAGAAATTTCATTAAGTCTAGGAGCCCTTACAGTGGAAAAGTATTTATACTGCTGTTTGCTCTTCTTCCTGAAAGAACCTGCACGGCAGTTCACAGACCTATCGTACTCATGTGTTTGTTGAGCCTACAAACCCTGTGAGAAGTCCCACTAGTATTCTAGTTGTACTTCGTTTCTGGCTCAGTAGATATTTTGTGAATGTTGTGGATGGTTTTTTACTGAACTATTTGCCTGGCAAGTTGTTCCTCCATTCTTGAGATTTGGTTTGCATCTATAATTTTATACGTGTCTTTTGTATAGCTTTCGCACGAGCTTTCGCAATACCACAAAAGGGTTCTGGGCCATTCATAGCTTTGTTTGCTCTTGCTCGGGCAAGTGAGTCTGCCTCTTCATTGCCCTCATACCCTGTATGTGCTGGTTCCCATGCTAGAGTCAGTCTGTTCCGACTGCCCAGTTAATTTAGGGTTCCTGAGCAGTCCCATACTAGCTTTGAGTTAACTTGCATTGAGTTAACTGCTTTGATTGTCGCCTGGCTATCCGAATAGATTGCGATGGTTTTCCCTTTAAACTCTTGCCTCATCAATTCTTTTACACAATGATGTATTGCAATAATTTCTGCCTCAAACACCGTTGCGTATGTGCCTAAGCTCAGTGAGATTCTTGTCTCTTCCTTGGCAATGTCTGCATTGATAGGAAGTCCTTCCTTCTATATCTCTCTGTCCGTTATACGTATTTTGAAAGATTTTTCAAAGATATATTTTGGAATTATGCCATCTGTTGGCATTCCCATGATGAGGTCGCTTCCCAACTCTTCATATAGCTTCCTGTAGTCTTTACGTGCGTGTTGCTAATGGATGCCTGACCCCCTGACAATCTACTCACGACTGCTCTGGCTCCGCCTTGAATGTATCTTTGTAGTGGTGGCAAGTTCAAGAGGACCTCTAAAGCGACCATTGGAGTGGTTTTCATTGCACCAGTGGCGCTCAGGCAAGCTTGCCTTTGAATGGTACTGAGCCTTCAAATCACTCCAGCCTGTTGTGTCTATGTATGCTCTGATTATTGTCAAAAAAAATAGAAAAATGCCATACTTTCTTAAAACACTCGAATCTTCTCTTAAACATAAAATATTCACCTGTATCAAAACCTATTGTGTTAAGAAAGGATCACACTTCAATCCAAAGCATGATGAAGCCAAGTTCAACTACTCAATTTCACCATAGGGCGTTAAGAAGTAAAGGGCGAAAGAGTAACTTTTGTCTTTCCCTGTATAATGAATGATCCAGCTTTTCACAAGAACTAATAGCATATTCGACTGGATTGCACTGACATGGCATAGATGCGTATTTAGCACTGCAATGACCTCGGACAGTATTCATTGAGTTCGGACCCATCTGCATGTAGATAATGTGAATCATTCTGGCACTGTATGAATAAAAAATACTTGACTGGTATGTTTAGGACAACGTGCTGTTGGATCCTAAGGATGGATCAAGCTAGAACTAATCAAATACCTTCCTTCAAAATTGACAAATTGTCAAATTATTTCTTAAATTTTGAAGTATATAGAGAAGAATTATTTGCGGCATTATAAATAGGTATGGAGATATTTTGTGAGTAATGACAGGTTTCGATGGTGTATGTACATACAATGCAATTTCGCCATTTACTACAAATACCTCGTTTTCAAAATATTTTATTGCAATTTCTGGGTATCATTAATTTTCTGCTTTCCAGTTTCATCCTACTTTGCTTTCATGAATTCAGAAATATCATTATTGCTATCGACTTACATAACAATGTGTATAAACACCCAATATCTTTCAGAATTTTTCATCCCCTGACTTTGGCACCGTCAAAAATAAGTGCATATACCAACCGAACACACACGCTCGACAAAAGTTGGAATTGAATGCGCAATAGTGCAGCCAGTCGCATTCGCTATAATACTTAGGCATTGACATTCCGGAACATGAATGTATGATTTGATCAACATTTCACAAAAATCTGGCAAGTATTAAAAAAGTTACAGGGCGATCAATTTGGCTACATTTTATGGTGGCCGGTTTTTATTATGATAAGCATACAAAAATGTGTCTAGCTGACTTTAGACTCACCTATGCTTGTGGAACACCATGGTCACCATACTGGTATTGACGCAGAATATGATGATGTACTCGGAGACGTCGAGCGCCCAATTATATTCGGGCACGTTGTCGAGGAACACGTCTGGAAGAGGGGCGTACTCGTTCTTGTTCGGTACGCGTTCGTGGACGAGACTCAGCGAAGTCAACGTCAGAATGAAGTTGAACGACATTATTATCGCAGCTGAAAAGAAAAAGAGGAAAGTAGGCGAGTGAACTATTTCTCAATCTACCACTAGATGTAGGACCTACCATTATTTACTCCTTTTCAAGGCGTAAAATGTGGTTTTACTAGGCCTGTGAAAAATATCTATATATCGATAAAACGAATAATGATATATAATTGCACAAATATCGATATATCGATAACTATCAATATATATAAAGGATGGCATTGAAATAAGTGCAAATATTTCGAACTCTGAGAAAGCTCGACGTGTACTATCGAGTTCAATCATTTAAATTGTTTTGAAGTGGCGTACTTGATTTTTTTCTCGTATTTTGTTCAATTTTTGGGATGAAATTTCTCGTTAATTAAAAGAATTAGAAAAAATCTGATATCATGGAAGTATTTCTTAGACTGTATCATATTAATGTGCTGAAAATGTGCACTTATTTCAAAAACACCTTGTATACAATATATGTTTGGGATCACACGTTAAAAGGTAAGACCCCCGTCATTAGTTGCTCGCACAAGTCTCTTGAAGACTTCTGAGGGTTGCTCGTAAGGGTGCAACCGAATGATGGATAAGAACAATTTTAGAACAATTTTTCAGAACAATATCGATATCTATCGATATATCGATAACAATCGATTTCTTCTCAATATATTAGAAACAATGAATTTATTTTATTAAAGTGACCCCTAGACAAGTTCTTATGCTGATTTAATTAGTATGAATATTTTATAACCTTTGGTTTGGATAAAAAATAAGATTATTTTGAGTTAGGCGTGGGGAAAATCGATATATCGATATATAATTTCACAAAAATCGATATATCGATATGTAATTTCAAAAATATCGATATATCGATATTTATCGTTTATAACTCCCGTTGGTCGAGCTATAAACATTTTGTCTAGGGATTTGAAATACCACTTGATTCCCTAGATGTATAATGTACTATTATGTCTTGTATCATAATGGGGAAGTTTCCTATATTCCTATATCTCACTGTGAAGTTTGTAAAAATTCCATATACACGGTGATTCAAAAGTGAGCGATATCCTTCCGGAGCCGTAATTCTTGCATAGAAGTAAGGCAAAAAGTTCCTTTTAATATGCGTCCGAAATTGCTTCCTAAGGGACCTTTGAATTGAACACCTTAAAGACGATTTTTTCCTCTCAATCAATCACTAGCAATCCCAGTCAGACGAACTCGACAAGCAGTCATTACATCCCTTTAACGTTAACCTTGAAAAATGCCGAACAACACTCCACCAAAACCCGTTCGTCTATAGAACAGCGAAGCTTTGGAATTCTTCGCCAATGGAAGTATTCCCAAGAACTTATAACCTCCAAAAGTAAAAAAAAAATCCAACAATACCTCCTCTCCCAATCCTCCCTAGGTACACGCGATGTTCCACGAACATTATAGGAATTTCCTTTCGTGCGCTCCAAGAGATTACAAAAAACGGCGCAACGAAGTTGTCTTCTTCATCTTTTTTTATTAGTTTTTTATCAGTGAATCCTCAAACATCAAGGTCAAGTGACTTCACCCTCTTCTTCTTCTTCTTCTTCTTCGAAGCACTGGTGGGCGGGTGAACCCCCTACACGTGGGCCTCCTTATTCGGGCCCATTGTGCGCCCACATGTTACGACATTCAGCTGGGTATGCCGACTGCCTTGGAGAAGTTCGGCAGCTTCCTCAGCTGAATCTCTTTTACGTCCTCTGGCCTCAAAATTATGTTGCCAAGGACAGCCCTCCTCTGATGCGTCAGTTCTGGACACTCAGTGAGAACATGTGATGACGTTTCGTCATCTTCCAGGCACCATCTGCAAAGGGGGTCATCCTTGATCCCAATAAGCTCTAGGTGCCTATTGAGGTGGTTGTGCCCCGTTAGGAGCCCCACTACCATTTTAAGGTTTCGGCTGTTTAGGAATAAAATCTCTTTTGCGAGCCTCTTCAAAGGTTCCTTCATGTGGAGTTTCGATTGTCTCATTCCTGGTGTGTCCTGCCATATTTTGAGGAATAGATAGAACGGCTAGGCTCTGGAATTCATTGCCGGATGAAGTATTCCCAACAAAATATAATCTCCAGAAGTTCAAAAAAAAATCCAATACCAACCTCCTATCCCTATCCTCCCTAGGAACGCACGATGTTCTTTGAACATTATAGGGATTCCCTTTCGTGCGCTCCAAGCGATAAGAAAAAAAATTGCCTTCGCAGCTGTTTCTCTATAGAGGACATTGCCAGGCTATTTGGTATTCCCAAGATTGGTTCCGGTCCGACTGGAGTCACTGGATGGTATTAGTTTGATAAGAGTTCGAACACAGAAATGACAACGGTTTTTGAATGTTTAGATTTATTAAGTTAGTCACCTTGGATTGTGACGAGAGCACCATAGTCGTCCCGCGCTTTTTCATTCAAAATTGTTTGAATTTGACCACGATAATTTGACAATACATTTTATAAACGTAAGAATTAGAATAAAATTTCACAATTATACTTTCCAGAAAAAAGCAGCTATGGAAATCACTTGCTGTGTAATAAATTGTGCCAATTCTGAAAAAATGGATATTATTTATTCAATTTTCCAAAACATATCAACCATTCGCTTATTGAAGGAAGATATGAAACGGCCTGGGTGAATAATCAATTTGAAGACGAGCGAAATTTGTGAGGTAGGTACTTATTAAAATTCACTTCTTATAACAGCATCTGATCAGAATGAAACTATATTTTAGGCCCAGTTTCAAATTTCAAAATCTGTTTGAGAGAATCTGCTGTTCCATCAATTTACTAAGCAGACGATTTCAAGAGCAAAATTCCATTATTACACACAAAATACAAAACAAAATAATCATGGAAAGAGGAAATGATCGTAAAATTACATAATGAAATTGAAAATTTGAAAACAAAACTAAGAAAAGCAAGGAAACTACGTGATATATTATTGAATGGCGTTTTTGGTGCCGATCAAATTCTAAATTCAACAGTGAGAAGTGAATAGTTATTTACGTACCAAGGGATTTATTATAAGGACCTTAATTACGCTGGAGGTTATCATTTTGGAGATATTTTCTATATAGATCCATGTTACTTAGCTCCTAGGGCGCTAAGTGAAGTTGCTCCGAAATGAAGCATTTCCAGACACAAGGTTATATAGACTTTATTCCTTAAAATTGTCTCAGGAATACTTCACTTGAACGTACTTATGTTACTTCCTGTATATTGAGAATACCTACTTATTTGATATTAATAACATGTTTTAAACTTATCACTGGGGTACAGTTTGACATACAATAAGGAATTATTGCTATAAGTTTATCTATATGTGTATATTTTCTAATATTAAAATGTTGTTACATGTATTCTTTTCATTTATATAACAGTTGTTCTGCTACAATACGTGTACAATAAATTGAAGTGGTTGTTGTACCCTATATCCATTGTCCATATACGGCTATGATTGATTTGACAGAATATATAACCTCTAAAATCGTATCTGACAATCAGGCGCTACTAGGGAAATTGAAAAGACAAAGAGCAGAATATACGTCTTTTTCTTTTATTCACTTAAACCATTGTATTATAGAAAAGGACAAAAGTTCAGCTGTGTCCGAACTCTTATCAAACTAATACCATCCAGTGACTCTAGGTCCGACCGAGGTCCGTCCTGAACCGATCTTTGCCAGTCTGTCTGCCTCCTCGTTTCCGGGTATTCCCGAATGTCCCGGGACCCACATGAGGCTGACTTTTCTTGATTTTGCCAGGTTTTCCAAGGCTTGTCTGCACTCGGACACCAAATTGGATGTGATCCTATTGGATTGCAAAGCCAGTATTGCAGCTTTGCTGTCCGAGCATATAGTGATTGGTTTACGACCTCTCATGATTAGGTTTTCTTGGACACAGGTGAGTATTGCAAGTTCTTCTGCCTGGAACACTGAGGCGACTTCACCCTCACCACATGATATTTATTACTTCTTTATATTGAGCAACTACGAACAAGCAATCGCTTAGTGGTTTGTGTATCTGACTTCCACGGTGGTGACTGGGTTTCAATCCCTAGGCGTATAATTTTTCTCATTTTTTTTACTCAATTAATTTTTGAAAAATATAATTTTCAGGATGAATGTTCATAAAGGACAAGTTAGGTTGAAAGTACTTTCCTTTTTCATGCAGAAGAGATATTTTCCTTCCTCATATTACCTTATAAGTCTTATAAACACGAATAACCTTCTGATAACCTTGAGGTTTGAAAGATTCACTGGTCTAGCTAGACGCTTGTCTATTTTCAGACTAGATTCAGAATGTACGTACGTATGTTAGAAATTGCTTTATTTAAAAAATAAGAAGACTTAGACTTCATCGATTGCCATTCAATAGCGTGGCCACGAGACTGGAGAGTACTTTATGAACATTTTTTATGAAAATCCATCCGCAAGGAACTTCCCCATTATGGGTGTCACAATGGGGAAGATCACTGAGAAATGGAATCCATCCAAACCTCTTTCAATCGATGAGTCATGATTTACGTTCAATGTACAATCAATCAATGTTATAAGTTAAAGTTGAAGGGAACTCCCCCCCCCCTCCCCGATATCTCTAGATAGTTTCTTCAGGATCAAAATGCGAAATTCTCCTGCAAGGTGCCAAAGACCACTATAGGCTCTCACCATAGGAAATACTCTCTGGAGTCGTCCGAAAGAAATCGTGGAGATCTCGCCTCAGATTTGAGATAATCCTCATTATTGCGAATTCCTAAAGTTTTCTCTAACAGGAAATGAATACGCATTTCTTTCTGCGCGAACCTAAGGATATCCAACACGTAACTGAACTCAGTATGCCCGACATTGTAATGTCTGGCACCACCATCCCCACCAAGCCCACCATATCTATGCTCGGTATTTCCGTAGAAAGGTCGGCGACCTTTCACTTTTCTATCGATACTTCCACGGGAAATTTTCTTCGGAAATCTCTGCTATCATTCCTTCACTAGCAATACCAGTCAGACGAACTAGACAAGCCCAGTCAGAACATACTTTCGTTGTCAACCTCGGAAGATGTCGAACAGCACTTTATCAAAACTCCTGGCTCTGGAATTCATTGCCTGAGGAAGTATTCCCAACAACAGATAATCTCCAGAAGTTCAAAAAAAAATCCAATACATACCTCCTATCCCGATCCTCCCTAGGAACGCACGATGTTCTTTGAACATTATAGGGATTCCCTCTCGTGCGCTTCAAGCGATAAAAAAAAAACAAAAAAAAAACAAGAACGAGCATTTCTCATTGCGAGCTCCTAAAGTAATCACAAGCATAACCTGATTAATCAATGAATATTTATATCGAAATATTGAGTTGAATTTCATCAGTAAAACTAAATATTTATTCGACCTTCAAATACCAGGTGTTCCAAGATGATTGAAAAATAAAAAAACTGCATTGAATGGCATTAAATAACATTCCTAATGACTTTTGAAAAAAATGTAAAACATTTGACAGCCTTCTGGTAGCAACTACTCACTTTTTATTTTCGAATGGCATATTGCATGTCAATCTATTTGGAATACATCGATAAAGCACATACTTGATGTTTTGTTTTCACAGATTAGAACAATGGATTAATTTTTTGTTTCAAAGAACCGATGATTTATATTTGTCATGAAATTTATGAAGTGTGACGGTACCTATAGTGAAATAACTGATCTACTTATGTTCTGTGAAGTTTTAACAAACATGGGCGGAGACAATTTTTGATTGATGTAACAGATTGTTAATGTTTTTGTTGTTATTGATGAACCAAATACAAAGAATGTGCTATCGTTGTATTCCAAAATAGGATGGCATGCAATTTTCAATGACAATATACAGGGAGTGCCATTGAATAAAAATTTAGGGGTAGCTACCAGTGCTGGTTTGATGCCAATCAGAGCAGTTTTTTTATCTCGTCAAATAAGCGAGTTTGCCTGTATACGACAACTTGGGACACCCGGTATTAACATGAAATTGAAAACAAAATTTACGATATCTCATCATATCAAGCCACCATAAATATCTATAATCCATAATAATAATTGTTGGATAATAGATACTTCATTTTCTTAATGTCTCAGAGAATTTGTTCAACAGGTTATATCTAGATCCCCGCCGTCATCAAAGATTATTTAAAATTTTGCAGTAAATTAATGATAATTGTCTACTCTAGCGAAATAGACAAAAATTCAGGTAGGATCGAGAATCAAGTATCTACTTCAAATTCGTGGGTAATATCGGATGACCTTTTGTTTTTAATAAACACCCGGCAAATTTCTGAAAGATATTTTTAAGTAAAGATGTTTACATTAATGTCTTGCTATAGAATGCATTCGGTTAGACTTGATTTCGTAAAACAAAAGGAATACAGTCATATAATTGATAATATCGCCCGATACAGCCCCGGTTCAGGACTGGCAGTTTGTCATACACTTATAAAAGGGTACATATAACGTTTATTTATATTAACAAAGAAATAAACAAAATACTAAGTCGGTCGACCACAAAGTTTAATTACAATAGTTTTACTTTTTGTGACTAATTTCGGCTCAAGCAGCCATCTTCAGACACAATATACAGTACCTGTAAAGATATTGGTTTATGTATGTATGATGTAACATATTGAGGAAAAAACATAGCTATGAAAGGACATGTGGAGATCACATAATTAATGAAATTGAAATTTTAGTAGTAGGGACATTTGGCCAAAAATTCAATCCGGTAAAAATATTAATACTTTTTGAACCGACTGAACAGCCAATTAATATTTTTACCGGATTGAATTTTTGCCAAATGACCCTGCTACTAAAATTTCAATTTTATTAGTTATGTGATCTCCACGTGTCCTTTTATAGGTATGTTTTTTCCTCAATATGTTATATTTTTCTTGTAAACCAATATCTTTATAGGTACTGTATATTGTGTCTGAAGATGGCTGCTTGAGCCGAAACTAGTCACAAAAAGTGAAACTCTTGTAATTAAACTTTGTGGTCGACCGATCAGTGTTTGTTTTTTTTTCTTCGAAAAAATCTGGACCACTTTGAAAAGGATGGATGGTTTCCATGATTCATTTATATTGTTTCATTTGAAACTCAATACGTTGATCCGAAAGTTTGGTGATTTTATCTTTGTTGCTGAAACAAATATCCAGTAAAGTTAGCTTCACCACAAACAATGCAGTCGGCGCTAGTTAGACTTCGCCGACAGGCGATTGCTGATAACCAATGACTCCCAAGAATTGAACACCATACCATATCAGTGGCGACCTTGTGGCCATTGATGCGAATGTGGCTCCTAAAGTCCTCGTTATTTGGAGATGTGCACGGATTTTTGAACAACCTGATAACTCATAGTTGTGAGCACTTGAAGAAATTGCTTAGCAATTGATGCGAATTTCCTATAGTTCTCGTCACAACGCTATGTCTGCGAATATCTCAAATAGCTCGTAGTCGCGAGCACTTAAAGACCTCGCCAGTAGCAATTGATGCGAATCTCCCAATGCCCTCGACCTCGCAAGTGGCGATTGATGCGAATATCCCAAAGTGCTCGCCTGAGGACATCGTATGGAAATTTCTGCAAGGGATATCTATAACACCTCGCTGAGCTCATCCTAGGCGGCGGACATTTGGAGGAGATATAGCGCTCTCAGCGATCTCTTAAAAAAGTTACAAAAGGCATCACAATTTCTTAGGAGGATATCTTCGATATACAGGGTAACTCACGGTCCATGGTACGTTAGACGTTTACGGAGAACGGGACATAGGATCATTCTGAAATTTTGGTTACTCACGTAGTTGCTCTTGGTCTATCGATCTAAAATATTTTCAGCTCTGCGGCGTTGCCGCTTCTATCGAGAAGTAGCAACAACTTTGTTATTTTAAATGGAACACCCTGTTATATCGAAGACTGGAACCTTTGGCACGATAATACACTACACTGTTTTACCACTAACCAAACCGATTTATTAATGCCTCGACACGTGTTTCGCTAACTATGTTAGCATCTTCAGGAGAAGATTAAAACTGAACACCCTGGGAACACCCTGTATTTTATTGCATTTTCAGATTCTCTCTGAAGAGCTGATTTCATCGATGTATCACACTTGGGGTCCAGAGGAAATGATTACAGAGAAATAGGGTGTGAAAAATCGACATTTTTCAACGTTAGGATTTTTTTTGTCGAAACTATTCATTATTGGTCAAAACGGCTCACATGTCCCAATCTCAACTTTTGATCAACTATCTACTGACATTTAATTGAAACAAATACAGGGTGGTGCAGAATTCAGAATCTTGATCACCCGGTACATGTCCCAATTAAATATCAGTAGATAGTTAATCAGAAGTTGAGATAGGGACATGTGAGCCGTTTTGACCAATAATGAACAGTTTCGACAAAAAAAATCCTAAAGTTGAAAAATGTCGATTTTTCACACCCTATATCTCTGTAATCATTTCCTCTGGACCCCAAGTGTGATACATCGATGAAATCAGCTCTTCAGAGAGAATCTGAAAATGCAATAAAATACAGGGTGTTCCATTGAAAATAACAAAGTTGTTGCTACTTTTCGATAGAAGCGGCAACGCCGCAGAGCTGAAAATATTTTAGATCGATAGACCAAGAGCAACTACGTGAGTAACCAAAATTTCAGAATGAACCTATGTCCCGTTCTCCATAAACGTCTAACGTACCATCGACCGTGAGTTACCCTGTATATTCAGGGCATTTTTGTGCTGCCTGGGATATTCCATTCGATAATTCAATAAGCCAGATATGGAGGTGGAGCCATGATGAAATAGTACCGAACTGTAGTTCTCTCTCTCAGATACCTTCCTATTCTGCAATGTTGCAGTGTGATTGGTCAGCTCAAGGGCAATAGGCGTGTTGGGACACCACACATACCTGTCACACCAATGAATTGACACCATCTCAAATGGCGCAGAAAGTATGTGTTTTGAAATAAACATACTTTCATTCATTTTCTTATCGTCCAAGTATAAATGAAAAAAATCAAAATTATATTCACTGGTAGTATTTTGGTATAGAGCTCACGATAATTTCGAATAAAAAAAAAGCGGTCTCCCCCATTATACAAATCCGCTTCTGAATCGAGGCCTAGGATCACAAATGAATGAATGAATGCAAGAATAAATAAATGAATGAATGAATGAATGAATGAATGAATGAATGAATGAATGGATGGATGAATGAATCAATGAACGAATCAATGAACGAATCAATGAACGTATCAACGAATGAACGAACGAACGAACGAACGAACGAATGAATGAACGGATGGATGGATGCGTGAATGAATGAAGAACGAACGAACGAACGAACGAACGAACGAACGAACGAACGAACGAACGAACGAACGAACGAACGAACGAACGAACGAACGAACGAACGAACGAACGAACGAACGAACGAACGAACGAACGAACGAACGAACGAACGAACGAACGAACGAACGAACGAACGAACGAACGAACCAACGAACGAAAGAATGCATGAACGAAAGAATTAAAGAATGAATGAATAAAGGAGAAGAAGACGAAGAACAAGAAGAAATACACTACGAATCTGACACCTCACTCACCACTCACCTAGCATAGTTTTGCATCGCTCCTGCGGGAACCTCGGTTCCTCCCGTACCGGCGACGGCAGCTCGATGGCGATGTGGCCGTTCCTGTCGACGCCCTTCGACGCACCATCGACGTCGTCGTCGTCGTCGTAGAATTCGGCGGCGGCGGCGCCCGAATGGCCGCCCCACTTCTCCGCTTTGCTGCCCGCCCCGCCCGGCAGCAGCGGTTGCCTCTGGTACAGGTCGCCTAGAAGAATAACTACGAGTATTAAGGGCACACTACTACTACTACTACTACTACTACTACTACTACTACTACTACTACTACTACTACTACTACTACTACTACTACTACTACTACTATTCTGATCAATGAACTCAATATAAACAACTGGATGGGAGACTGCCGATTTCTCGAATAGCACAGAGTGTGGCTATATTCCGAATTCAACTGATCAGTACTGTCAGTATATCCACTTAGAGTCACTGGATGGTATTAGTTTGATAAGAGTTCGGATACAGAAATGACAACGGTTAGGGTTTTTGAATGTTTAGATTTATTAAGTTACACACCTTGCATTGTGACAAGAGCTTTTTCATTCAAAATTGTTAGAAATTGACAATCAATTTTATAAACGTCAGAATTGAAATAAAATGTCATAATTATACTTTCGAGAAAAAATCAGTTATGGAAATTACTTGCTGTGTAATGAATTGTGCCAATTCTGAAAGAAATGGATATCATTTATTCAATTTTCCAAAACAAATATCTACCATTCGCTTATGGAAGGAAGATATGGGTGGAGAATCAATTTGAAGACGAGCAAAATTTGTGAGGTACTCACTGAAATTCACTTCTTATAATAGCATCTGATTAGATGCAAACAGAACATTTCAAAATCTGTTTGAGAGAATCTGCTGTTCCATCAATTCACAAAGGAGAAGAATATTAAGGAATTCAAAAGCGAGTCGAAGTATGTAAGAAGTTAGTGAATTTCTTATTACTGGTACTGGTACTGGTGGGGGACGTTTCCACGTCAGCAACTAGTCCCCAATGGGACCTTTTTGCCAACCCCAAGTGTTTTTCAATGACTGATGTGGTTCGCTCAAGAGAGCTGGCTAACATCCTTTTCAGGCACCGCCCATCAGCTCTCTTTTCAGAGTTTTTCAGCTGTGTTTTGTAGGCTAGTAATGTACTCACTACCATATGCGCAGTGGCAGGCCTGCTAACTATCATCGTTAACCCCCGAGACCGAGGTCTACTTAAGCAGCTGGCCCGCTCTCACGCTCAGCTGGTAGTTTTCCACACCCACCTACATACACCGTCCTACTTCTTCTCTGATGCTCACAACCACATCATCATATCTTTCTGCGTGTTCTGTGTAGGCTTTGTTACTAACTCCATGCGCCACTTTAGGAGCAGCACTGTTAATTGGAACGCAACAGCGAATCGTGCAGGACTATCCCCAGCCGATGCTCCGAAACTTTACAATATTTAATTCGTAAATAAAATATTGAAAAAAGTTCCTTGCCCGTGCTGGAAATCGAACCCACGACCTTGCGGTCGTGAGACGGACGCTCTTCCACTGCGCCAATCCCGGCGATGAATTTCTTATTATGAATGCATTCAATTTTCACAGTTTCAGAAGGTATATTATGTTCTAACATATCTATTATACCTACTTGGGTATTTATGTGAACATGAAACCAATGAGAATAGTTATTTATGTATCAAGGGAATTATTATAAGGGCCTTAATTACGCTGGAGGTTATCGTTTTGGAGATATTCACAATTTTCTATATCGATCCATGTTACTTAGCTCCTACTGCGCTAAGTGAAGTTGCTGAGAACTTTATAAAACCAAGTATGTGGTAGGTCTCGTCAATATAAAGTACTTTTTTCCTATGAAATGTTCATAGTAAAATTATTTATTCCCTGTATTTCAACACTCTGTATCTCCGAAATGAAGCATTTCCGGACACAATAAGCTAATATAGACTTCATTTCTTGAAATTGTCTCAGGAATACTTCACTTGAACGTACTTATGTACGTCCTGTATATTGAGAATACCTATACCTTTAATTGCATACTAATATCTTCATGTTTTATACTTATCACTGGAGTACAGTTTCCCATACAATAAGGAATTAGCTAAAAGTACTGTATATGGTATGTGTATGTGTATATTTTCTAATAGTATAATATGTTCTTACATGCATTCTTTTCATTTGTATATATAACTGTTGTTCTGCTAGAAGTGTATCACTATAAATTGAAGTGGGTGTTTGTACCCTATTCCCATTGTCCATCTACGGCTATGATTGATTTGACAGAAATTATAACCTCTAAAATCGTATCTGACAATCAGGCTCTACTAGGGAAATTGAAAAGACAAAGAGCAGAATATATGTCTTATTCTTTTATTCACTTAAACCATTGTATTATAGAAAATAGAAAAGGAAAAAAGTTCTGCTGTGTCTGAACTCTGACCTAACTAATACCATCCAGTGACTCTAGATCCACTGAATCTGCTGAAAATCTGTGTTCCGAAATATAAAATCAAAAATACAGTGCTGTAATTCGGGACACGTTTTCATGGTTTTCATCAGTAGTCAGCAGCAGTAAATCAGCTGGTGAAATTTGTCAGTCTGTAGTTTCTCGTTTATCTGGACTAGATATTTAATATTTAACGATTATTGACGAAGACGATTCAGGCTCGAGTGATAAAGAATACTTGGACATTTTGTTGCCATTAATTTCTCATGATGCACCAGATTGAGAATTGAAAGATTTATAGAAAACGTAATGATGATGAATTTAGGAGACATTTCAGGTTTATTTAGTTAGTTATTTAGCCAATGCTGCTTCTTCTTTTGTTACCTCTACTACTTCATACTCAATATTATTCTCAGCGCTTATTATTTCAATAACAGGTATTTTCTGATATTGAGAATAATATTATTAACAACGGAAATGAATGTTACATTCCTTCCCCCTCTAAAATAATGACAGTTCACTGAAGCCACACTACTTTCTGATACTCAGCAATTTCAGCAGAATGTTGAGTCGAAATATTTGGAATGAATAGTATGTCTGCTCACAAGCATCTGTCACTTTCAGTGATTTTTTTTGATTTCGGAATGAAAAATCAGCAGATTCAGTACTGTCAGTTGAATTCGAAATATAGCCTGTGTCAGGGGCAGCTGCAACAAAGATCGCTTGTGTTACGGTAGCCTGTCTCTTTCCTACTCGTGTTGTTTAATGGCGGATTGGTGTATACATTTTCTTTTATTCAATGATTGGAGTACTTGAGATCTTTTTTTTCTTTTTTTTTCATCTAAACAGGCGAAAAAGTGAAGACAGAACTTTATTGTTTTTTGTTATGTGAAATATCGCTAAATTTGGCGTGTTTTGTTTCTTCAAAAGGACTGAATTTGATGGTGTGAATTGATTATTGTTGAAAAGATTTGTGATTTCGAATTGATAAACAATGGTTATTTATATTGTGTTGCTTTTGGATGCAAAACAAGCAAGACAAACAGAAATTGTCCTCCATGAGTGAGTTGAAAATTGTTCCGATTCTTAGAAAAACTACAGTGATTTATTTTCAGGATGTGTCTGTGGATGTTCATTACTTGGATTCTGAGGACAATGTTTTTCATATGGACATTGATTTGCTTACAACTTCCAGCTCCCATGTAAGTTTCAAACATTATTGATAATGAAACCCACAAACTGTTTCATTCCAGAAGGCCTATTCTATTACAAAGAAAAGTGAAAACACTGAAACAAAAGGTAAAAAGGAGAATGACAATCTTGATGAAGTACTAAAAAAAACATTTTGAAGGTAAAAACTACGAGTTCAAATTTTTAAACTCAAGAGCTACAACATAATATTGTCTTTTCAGATTTGCCTTTGGAGCTTATTCTTCTCCAGAAAGGAAAAAATGAAGGTATACATTCTGAGCGACGCAGATATTCATCTTTAATGAAAAAGTTCGTCCTGACATTGTACTTTTATTCACTTTTTATCCACCTTTCATTCACCTTATAATAGTGAAATGTTTATGGAATAGGTACTCCTAAAAGTTAGGCTTATAATTGACCTTAGATACTGGATACCATGCAAGAACCTTTTTCAATTTTTTTCTACCGTTTTTCTATTTCTTTTGATAGTGCTGAGACCTCGACTGAGACATTGAGCTTCGCTCACCCTGTACAATATATCGTGACATTTGAATGAGAGTATATAATTTCAATTTTGCATTAATTTACCTTCCTAATCCTAACAATCCTGTATGAATAAAAATGGAATTTCACTTTTGAGTCAACAAAAAAATCAATAATTATTTTCAAATAATAATTGATTGCAACATTATCCTTTTTCCTAAATGAATATTCATATTTAATCACGTATACTCTCGAATAAAAGCAGAAAACAAGAAAATATTTCAAATAATGCGAGCGCTTCCCATTAGCCAACATAAGATAGAAAGAGATAGGTATCCGTAAACACTGCGGGTTGCCTGAACAATATTTTTGCCTCACTCGTCGTTCACAGAGTATCCCTTCCAAGGATACTCTGGGATATATTGAGTTCATTGATTCTGACACTTCATGGATTACCTAAGATTGAATAATAACATATACAGTGTCACTCATGTAATTCGACTTGGGCGTTAAAATTCGCTTTACCTCGTATATTAATAGGGCGATTACGAATATTGAAAGGCTCGCTTTGCTCGTACTTTGAAATATCTCGATCATGAATTCCCCTCATCAATATACTAGTTACTAGTTGGTAAATAGTATAATATACTATTTTTTCTATTTTGCATCAATTTGTACTCATTTATTTGAAAAAAATCATCAATAAAAACATCAGATATTAAAAAGATATGAAGTGAAAATAGTTGGTAGCAATGAAAAAACATTTGAATGTTCAATCCCCATATTGACAGATTGTAGAAAAATTATTCAAATTTTCATCATTATTCCAGCTATATAATTTGAAATAGAATAGAATAGAATAGAATATTTATTTCACCAATTTACAAATCTTATGTTTTTGGCAAGTCAGGTACAAAGGACATATTAAATGTAGTAGATAATAAAAAACACATTAAAAGTATGCAGAATAAAGTCATACACGTACATCTCTGGCAAATAAAACAGACTTTCACAGTGACATGTACCACATATAAAACAATAATTCGTGAGGACTTATTTTTCTTCCTCAATTCA